GTGAAAGGCGAAAAGTGAAGAAACCTTCGGAAATGAGACGTGTGTTAATTCTTTGAATGGGCTATTTCAAAACCTTTTGGCTTTTTTTTTATTTCTCCTGCAAAAGACAATAAGGCGAATGCAATGTCAAATGTTAACTGTTCTTCAGCAGAGAAAGAGAGAGGGAGAGAGGTTTTAAGTGAATTCATTACAGGGTGAATGGAAAATGTTTGAAGGTAAATTAAATCCCTTACAATTTGGGAATCGGGGTGATTGCAAACGAGCGAGCGAGCGAGTGAGCAAGGGGTATCTGCGTGTAGAAGGGGGAGTGTCATACATGACACAAGTAATAAGGGCAAAACTTAATTTTTTAATGTATTGAATTATTCATTCATTCTACAGGTAGTCCTTGACCTACAACAGTTTGTTTGGTGACTGTTCGAAGTTACAATGGCACTGAAAAAAGTGACTTATGACTGTTTTTCACACTTACAACCAATGATGGGATTCAGCCGGTTCGGGTCGGTTCAGGAAAACTGGTAGTTAAATTGCTGGCTGGCATGTCCCCCCTGTGGCCTGTTTTTGCTCCTAGGGGGCTGCAGGAGGCTGAGTGCTGCCTGTCACACCCCTTGGCCACACCCACCATGGCCACGCCCACCCAGCCGGTCATTAGGGCAGAGAACCGGTTGTTAAATTATTTGAATCCCACCACTGCTTACAACCATTGCAGCATCCAAGTGTTTACTGATCAAAATTCCAATGTTTGACAACGGGTTTGTATTTGTGACAATCGCAGTGTCCCGGGGTCACATGATCCCCTTTTGCTTTGATCATGTGACAAGCAAAGTCAACAGGGAAGCCAGATTTACTTAACAACCATTGTTACTAACTTGACAATTGTATTAAGTGACAATTCGCTTAATAACTGTGGCAAGAAATGGGCCGAAACTTAACAACTGTCTGGGCTCAATTGTGGTCGTAAATCGAGAACTACTTGTAATTTTTTACTTCTCCCTTTCTATTAAGAAAATTCTAGAAGTTTAGAGCTCATTCTGAGCCAGCTGGCTTGTTTTTTCACTCTTGCTGAACAAAGGAGGAAAGGAGGAAAGGAAGTTAACATAGCTTCAATGCCCTTGAAGATCTCAGATATTTGATTCCCATCCCCAAAATCATGGTAGGTCTCATGTTCCCCTGACCACAGCAGGGTCATGAAGTTATGGTGCCAGGTTTTGATAGCAATAGCAATAACACTTAGACTTATATACCGCTTCATAATGCTTTACAGCCCTCTCTAAGCAGTTTACAGTGTCAACCTATTGCCCTCAACCATCTGGATCTTTGTTTTACCGACCTCGGAAGGATGGAAGGTGGAGTCAACCTTGAGCCGGTCAGGATCGAACTGCTGGCAGTCGGCAGAATTAGCCTGCAATACTGCATTCTCACCACTGCGCCATTGGTGTAGTGTTCATCGTCATTAGTTGGAAGCTTCTGCAACGGAACCTAAAGGCGGGATAAATCTAAATATAGATTTAAATATATAGTCCTCGACTTACAACAGTTCATTTAGTGACTGTTCAAAGTTACAACGGCACTGAAAAAAGAGACTTATGACCGTTTTTCACACTTATGACCGTTGCAGCATCCCTGTGGTCATGGGATCAAAATTTAGATGCTTGGTACATGATTCATATTTATGATGGTTGCAGTGCCTGGGGGTCATGTCATCTCCTCTTGCGACCTTCTGACCAGCAAAATCAATCGGGAAGCCAGATTTCAGCGAACAATCGTGTGACTAACTTAACAAGTGCCATGGTTCAGAAATGGATAGATTAACACTTAAAATTAAGGAGAAGGAAGAAACAGAATATTTTTTAACATGGGATTCATTTCATCAATTGCTAACTAACAGAAACAGAAGTTAGAATTTTAAAAGCTTAAGAGAATGATTAATTATATAAGGAAGATTCATTGAAATGGATAAACAAATATTATGGTGATGATGATGTGATTATTATTAATGTTCTGAATATTATTGTTACTATTACCCTGTTTCTCTGAAAATAAGATCCAATTGGAAAATAAGTCCTAGCATGATTTTTCCGGATGCTCGTAATATAAGCCCTACCCCCAAAATAAGCCCCAGTTAAGATTGTCAGCCAGATGGATGCATTTAGGACTGTATTTCCCCCAAAATAAGACCTAACCAGAAAACAAGACAAAAATAAGCGTCTTTTGGAGCAAAAATTAATATAAGACCCAGTCTTATTTTCGGGGAAACATGATATTATTACTAAATTACTGTATTTTTCAAAATTAACTGTACTCAGACAACACACTCTTCATGTAGACATTAAATGTTTTATGTTTATTAAAAAATGTGTGTGTGAGTGTGTGTATTTGTTTTCGTAGATTTTCATGGGTACAGGTATGTAACAACACAGCCAACCAATCCACTTACAAAACAAAGCCAGCATTCCATACCTCCCCACCAGTATTTATAGAGAGATAGCATCTCCGATCACGCTTTGCTCACACATGCACGAAGCCGATACTCTTACTCGGATTCGAACTTGGGCTGCCTGCATATTAGGCAGTTGTTTTAACCTCTGAGCCCCATATTGGGGCGACCCCATGGACAACGGGCCTGGTGGCTCAGCAGACTAAAAGCATTGTGATTAACACCAGCTGTCTGCAATTACTGTAAGTTCGAATCTCACCAGGCTCAAGGTTGACTCAGCCTTCCATCCTTTCTAAGGTAGGTAAATTGAGGACCCAGTTTGTGGGGGCAATAAGCTGACTTTGTATGAATATACAAAAGTATGAAGGCTGTTGCTTAACACATTGTAAGCCACCCTGAGTCTCCGGAGAAGGGCAGCATATAAATCAAATTTTAAAAAAAAACAACGTTCCTCCAGGCCTTCCTGTCCTCTACCATCCTCTGGAGTCCATTTAAGCTCACGCCGACTGCTTCAGTGACTCCATCCAGCTACCGCGTTCTCTGCCGTCCCCTTCTTCTTTTGCCCTCCATGGTTCCCAGCATTAGGCTCTTCTCCAGGGAGTCCTTCCTTCTCATTAGGTGGCCAAAGTATTTGAGTTTCATCTTCAGGATCTGGCCTTCTCAAGAGCAGTCAGGGTTGATCTCCTCTAGGACTGACCGGTTTGATCTCCTTGCAAGCTCACTTAACAAAGCTTTCACTTAGCAACAGAAATTTTGGGCTCACTGTAACTGTAAATAAAATAAAATAAAATAAAATAAAAGCATGATAAGTGGCAGATAACAGGCTGGCTTGAAAATTAAGACACATTTTTTTGGGGTGGGTGAAAGTTTCAATCACCCCATACAAATGACCTACCATCGATCCCGAGGAATTCCAGAAGGGAATAAAATGTTGAAAGGTTGAATGTGGCGTTTCTCACAATACAGGTGCCTGAACATTAATGAGCTGTTGGGAGTTGAGCCAGTTTCTCAGATAACCCTGGGGGTGATTATAGCTTGTAAAAGCCGCCCACAAAAAGACATGCGTGGGGCATATGCTGGGTTGTAATTAAAGCCACAAGCATTCATGTTAGCAAGGAGACCAGCTGCACAAAGCATTTCAAACCTCTCTCAAGCCTTGAATTAAAAATAGACACACAGAGAGGGTGAATTGTGAATCCCACATTTTATCGGTTTGACAATCCGGGAGAATGCTTGCTTTCTTCTTCTTTTTTCATTATCTCAAAAATCAGAGATTTGGCGGTCAGTGTTATCGTAACCCAAATGTTACGGACAACATTTTCTAGGGAGAGGAGAAATATAAATATAGACATAGGAAGAGAAGAGATAATTACCGATTAAGAATCATGGTGGCCATCAGCACTGAATGCCGATACGCGTCAAGCGTTTGTAAATCTATCGCATTGCATGGCAAATTCAATATGAAAAAGACCGGCTTATGAAAATAGACACGCCAGCCAGTCTTAGAATTAATATTGAAAATATTGAAGGATGAACCATCAACAGTAAGGAACAAGCAGTCAAGAAATACATCATAGATTAGCACTTGCTAGAACAGCCACGAAAGCCTTAGAAAATACATTCAGATGCCATGATGTCTTTATATCTAACAAAGGTCAGAATCATGCAAGCAATAATATTCCCTGTGACTCTTTAGGGAAATGAAAGTTTGAAGAAGCAGGATAGAAAGGGTATTGATGCCTTTGACATTTTTCTACTTCTCCTCTCTTCCCTTCCCTTCCCTTCCCTTCCCTTCCTCTTCTTCCTACTATATTCTCCTCTCCTCTTCTTTATATTCTCTTCCCTCCCCTCCCCTCCCCTTCTCTTCTCACCTACTATATTATTTTTTTTTCTCTCCTCTCCTCCTCTCCTCTCCTCTCCTCTTCTCTCCTCTCCCTCTCCTCTCCTCTCCTCTCCTCTCCTCTCCTCTCTCCTCTCCTCTCCTCTCCTCTCCTCTCTTCTCTTCTTCCCTCCCCTCCCCTCTTCTCTTCTTCCCTCCCCTCCCCTCCCCTCCTCTTCTTCCCTCCCCTCTCTCTTCTTCCTTCCCCTCCCCTCCCCTCCTCTTCTTCCCTCCCCTCTTCTCTTCTTCCTTCCCCTTCCCTCCCCTCCCTCTTCTCTTTTCTTCTCTTCTCTTCTTCCCTTCCCTTCCCTTCCCTTCCCTCTTTTCTTCTCTTCTTCCCTCCCCTCCTCTCCCTTCCCCTCTTCTTCTCTTCTCTTCTCTTCTTCCCTCCCCTCTTCTCTTCTTCCCTCCCCTTCCCTCCCCCCTCCCCTCTTCTCCCCTCCCCTCCCCTCTCCTCCCCTCCCCTCCCCTCCTCTCCTCTCCTCTTCCAATCCATCCCACTCCATTCCCATTCCATTCGATTCTCTCTCTAAAGCCCAGCATACCTATTATAATACATAATAGGCTGGCCAGGCTCTTCTTCTGAATGCTTGAGGAAGCGTAGTGCTTTAGTAGTTACTAGCATTTAAGTTTTTTTTTTCAATGACCTTAGGAGGGACATGTGAAGATCCCACCCACTTTCAGAATTAATTTAGCTCATCTTCCTAAAAGTTGCTCTTGTCAAGAAATTCCTCAAAACCTCTCTCAAATTTTGATTTGAGAATTTTTGGAAGGTGAGGTGGGGAAAGGTCCATGTTGACATTTCCAAGATCAGTTGGAAGCAAAAGTTATCAATTTACTTATGACGAAATAAGACTATAGAGGACCACATGCAGTAAGTCAATTCTTCAAACCCTAATATATGGAAATACAATTTACTATACAATTTACTTATGGCTTTGTCTCTAGCATGTAGAATGCATCAAGATAGAGCTAACAGGGTCCGATACCCTATTCTTGCCATATATACATGCCGGGGCTAGTAAGCCAACATTTTCCTAGCGTTGTATTGATGGACTGGTCATAGAACGGTGCTGTTTCATTCTTCCTTGAGTTGTTTACTCTGTTCTTTGATTCTTTGATTGTGGTGCATTGTGGAAAGATGGGCTGCAAACAAACAAACACACACACACCTAAATGTAAAATCTAGGGTGAGACTAGATTTGCCACAATTTTCCGTGTACAAATTTACTGGTTTTATAGATTGTAATTCTCTCAGCCAAAAAAGGGACAATTAATTCGATTTTTACTACTTGAATTGTGTACAAATTATGGATGATTGTGATGAAGGAGAAGAAGGCGGAGGAGGGGGGAGGGGGAGGAGGAGGAGGAGATGATGATGATGATGATGGTAATCATATCCTCAGGGATAGTATGTAGATATATTTTCGGTCTCCCTAAAGATTTCTATATAGTTAGGCAGCATTATACATATTGAATTCTACAATCAAGTCAACGAAATACACTTCACAGATTTGATTGCTATAAATTGATTTATCTCCAAGATATGAATAAAGAAGCCGGGCTAAACGGCAGCTTCTGTGCAAAGAATTTCATTTAAGCGTCCTTTGAATTGAAAACCTCAAGCCAACTCAATGTTGCCAACTTCCTAGCACGGAGCAGAAAATCTACCTGACAGTTGCCATGGGAACACAAACAGGAAGAGCTAACCACGGGCCTATAAATCCACAGAGAAAACTCCCTTAATTGGACGGCCTTTAACCCTCACATTTTTCTCATTGCTGCGGAGCTTATTTCTAAAGAGATTATTAAATTCCTCGATTGACTTATGAGGGAATGCTTCCCGCTATATTATCATGCACTCAGGTTTCCTCATTTTTTAAAATGTCTACTTCCAAAATTTACAAAGCCTGGCAGGGCTGGTAAAAGTTAATGTAGATGTTTCAGTGAAAAATTCAAAAGATCGACTCAAAACCAGTTCCATGATGTTGCGTTCAGTAGAAAGGGAAAAGTGTGTGTGGGGGGGGAGAGGGTGAGAAGAGAAGAGAAAGAGAGAGAGAGAAGAAGGGAGAGAGAGAGAGAGAAGAGAAAGAGATGGGGGAAGAAAGAGAGAGAGAGAGGAGAGAAAGAGAAGAGAAAGAGAGAGAGAAAGAGTGTAAGAAAGATGATGGGAGGGAGAGAGAGAAGAGAAAGAGATGGGGGAAGAAAGAGAGAGAGAGGAGAGAAAGAAGAGAAAGAGAGAGAGAAAGAGTGTGAGAGAGATGATGGGAGGGAGAGAGAGAAGAGAAAGAGAGAGGGGGAAGAGAAAAAGAGAGAGAAATAGAAGGAGAAAAAGAGAGAGAAAGAGTGTGAGAGAGATGCAGGGAGGGAAAGAGAAGAGAAAGAGAGGGAAGAGAAAAAGAGAGTGAAAGAAAAGAGAGAGAGAGAGAGAAAAGGGAGAGAAAGAAGAGAAAGAGAGAGGGAAAAGAAAGAACAGAAAGAGAGAGAAAGACAAGTGAAAAGAGAAGAGAAAAAGTGAGAAGGAGAGAGAGAGAAGGAGAGAGGGAGAGAAGAGAAAGAAAGAGAGAAGAGAAAGTGAGAGAGGGAGGGATGGGGAGGGAGAAGAGAAAGAGGGAGATAGAGAAGAGAGAGAAAGAAAAGAAAAAGAGAGAAAGGGGAGAGAAAGAGAAAGAAAGAAGAAAGAGAAAGAAAGAGAAGTGAGAGACAGAGTGAGAGAGAGAAAAGGTGGAAGGAAGGGAGAGAAGAGAAAGAGAGAGAGGAGAAAAGAAAGAGAGAGGAGAGGAGAAAAAGAGAGAGAGAGAAAGAGGGAGAGGAAAAAGAAAGAGAGAGGGGAGAGAGAGAGAGAGAGAGAGAGAGGGAAAGGCAGAAAAAAGGGTTGTAGAGGAGAGCAGCAGATTCCACCTCCAAGAGCTGAAAAGGGTTGAAAGAGATCAAGAGATTTCACAAATCATCTTCTCATATACCTTGAAGCTTTGAAAAGGGAGAATAAAACCAGAAATCTACAGACGTGAAGTTTGGGCTCCATTGAATTGCTGTTTCATATCTGAATTGGTACCAAAAAAAGAAGAAAAAAGAAGGAAAGGAAGAAGAGGAAGAGGAATGGGAACATCTTCCTCCTCCTTGGCAGACATTAACTGACAACTACAGATAGTCCTTGACTTACAACCATCCGTTTAGTGACCATTAGAAGTTACAACAGCAGTGAAAAAAATAACTTGTGACTGGTTTTACAACACTTACAATGGTTGCCGTAACCCCAGGATCACGTGATCAAAATTTGGACACTTGGCAACTGCTTCATATTTATGACGGTTTCAGTGTCACGGATCTTGCGATCCCCTTTTGCAACCTTCTGACAAGCAAAGTCAATGGGGAAGCCAGATTCATTTAACAACCATGTTCCTAACTTAACAACTGCCACGATTCACTTAACAAATGTAGTGAGAAAAATGTCGTAAAATGGGGAAAAATTCAGTGAACAAATGTTTCACTTAGCAACAGAAATGTTGGGTTCAGTTGTGGTCGTATGTTGAAGACTACCTGTATATAGCAGTGGTGAAATCCAACTTTTTTTTACTACCGGTTCTGTAGGCGTGGCTTGGTGAGCGTGGTCTGGCTTGGTGGGCGTGGCTAGGTGGGCATGGCAGGGGAAGGATCCTGCAAAATCCCCATTCCCTCCCCACTCCTGGGAGAAGGATATTGCAAAATCCCCATTCCCTCCCCACCCTGGGGCCAGCCAGAGGTGGTATTTGCCGGTTCTCCGAACTGCTCAAAATTTCTGCTACTGGTTCTCCAGAACCTGCTGTATTTCACCCTTGGTATTTATCTATGTGGGCTTCTCAGCTCCCAGAATAATCATTCATAGCCATAGTAGCAGTTATTCAGGGTGTCAAATTCTGGAATTTATAGTCTACAGACCTGTGGTGGGTTTCAAATTTTTTTACTACCGGTTCTGTGGGTGTGGCTTGGTGGGCGTGGCATGGCTTGGTGGACGTGGCAAGGGAAGGATACTGTAAAATCTCCATTCTTACCCCACTCCAGGGGAAGTTTACTGCAAAATCCCCATTTCCGCCCAATCAGCTGGGAATTGTGAGGCAGAGAATAGATGGGGGCGGGGCCAATCAGAATTTTTACTCCCGGTTCTCCGAATGACTCAAAATTCCTGCTACCGGTTCTCCAGAACTGGTCAGAACCTGCTGAAACCCACCTCTGCTACAGACCTGGAAATGATAAGAGTTGGGAAATGTTGTGTTAGACTACTTCAGTATTATACCTCATACGTAAGAAAACACTTATGTGCCAGTGAACTCCTGCCAAATCTTGCTCTATTGCTCTAGGTACTTCTTACTACCTCAGTCCCTCTATTGTCGGAGGCAAAACCCAAAACAGAACAAAGACAACAATAACAACAAAAGCCCTTTCATATTTTGATGAAAGATGCTTGTTTCAAAACACAAGGAAAAGACAATGGTGCTGTCTGAGATTTGCAGACATTTCATTACTCACTAGGTAATATCACCCTGCTACTGAGTGTCAGTGCTCCGTGCTTATAACTATAGTTTGCCCTCTCATTTTATTAGTGGGATTGTAGTTTCTCCCTTCATAGTTGCTTGATTAGGGTATTGTTTACTATTTGATTGTCTCCTTAATAGTTCCTTGATTAAGATATTGTTTTCTGCTTGATTGTTTGTGTGGCATTAATCTCTGCTTATCTGGATTTTGGCTGCTGGCTAGGGTATTTCTGGTCCTTTTGTTTCCTTCTTAGTTTTTTATTGTCTTTTTTGAAAGACATGTTAATTTGTCCAGAGTGCCTATCTTCCAGGAATTCCCTAGATTAAGATTAAGATTAAGATTAGATTAAGATAACCTTTATTGTCATTTTTTTTTTTTACTGTGAGCACACTGGCACACATTAAAAATGAAATTCTGATGCCTGCTCTCAAAAGAAAGTATATATCTACCCATATACATACATAGCACACATGCTAAAAAGGTAAAGGTTCCCCTCACATATCTGTGCTAGTCGTTCCTGACTCTAGGGGGCGGTGCTCATCTCCGTTTCAAAGCCGAAGAGCCAGTGCTGTCCGAAGACATCTCTGTGGTCATGTGGCCGGCATGACTCAACGTCAAAGGCGCACGGAACGCTGTTACCTTCCCACCAAAGGGGGTCCCTATTTTTCTACTTGCATTTTTTATGTGCTTTTGAACTGCTAGGTTGGTAGAAGCTGGGACAAGTAACAGGAGCTCACCCCATTACGCGGCACTAGGGATTCGAACCATTGAACTGCTGACCTTTCGATTGACAAGCTCAGTTTCTTAGCCACTGAGCTACTGTGTCACATGCTATATACATACATACATACATACATATATATATAGTGTACACACACACACTAATAACTGTCCATTTTGAATACATAGCAGAAAGAGGAAACTTCAGAGTTTACAAGGTTGATACTACATGGAACAAAACTGTGACTGAATCTGGATGTTCTGCTTTGGATACCACAAAGCCTCCTCCTAGAAGTTAACTAGGAAAATAGGTCATGAAGAGGATGTGTAGCATCCCAAACAATCCTACAGACCGTGCTCAAGCATCACTTATATGCCTATGTCCTGGATAGAAGAGAGTGAACTGCCAATGATCTTTTCTGCCGTCCTCACCACTCTCTGCACCACCTTCCTGTCTGAATCAGTAATGCTTCCAAACCAGACAGTAATGCAATATCGTTCGTCCCTCTAGTGAAAGTGGTAAGGACAGGGGAAGGAAAATGTATTTTTCTCATGCAACATAGAAAATGCAGGCGCTGCTGTGCCTATTTCACCGGTGTCTCGCTGTTGAGCGACCAAGCTGGCTTACTACTCATTAGCTGCACACCCAAGAAACTTGCTGCTGCTAACCACCTCCAGGGTTGAATCATTAATAACACAGAGGTGTGTGTTATTTTCTGCAATCAACAATGATCTCTTTAGTTTAGAGTTTTTTTTGGATCCAGCTTGCTCTAGGATCCTCACAGTTTCCCAGTGTGGAACCCTGAGCTCCATGCATTTTCTGTTGGAAAAGAGAATTTCGGAAATTGTAATGCTCCAAGCAGACCACAAGATGCTACTGGTCTTCTCCAAATAGGCACTTGTCTGGCAGAATCTCAAAAGAGATGCTGTAGGCATCTCAATGTATTAGAGATCACAAACTAAAAAATAAACAGAAATAATAGCCTACCTTATGCCTGGCTTGAAGAAGCGATAAAAGTCCACCAGTATAGACAATTCACTAATTTGTATTGAGAAATAAAATAATAAATAAGAATAAAGTTAGCACCTGATAGGGAGAAGGAAAAAAGAAAAATGGGGAGGGGGGAAGGAAGGAAGGAAGGAAGGAAGGAAGGAAGGAAGGAAAGAAAGAAAGAAAGAAAGAAAGAAAGAAAGAAAGAAAGAAAGAAAGAAAGAAAGAAAGAAAGAGGGGGAAGGAGGAAAGAAAGAAGGATTAACAAATGTGGCAAGGAAAGTCATAAAATGGGGCTTAGCAAATTTCTCACTTAACAACATAAATTTTGGGCTCAATTGTGGTCGTAAGTTGAGGATTTAGCCTCATATTGCAGTGATATTAAACATGGTATGTTGATCCCAATGGGGATGAGTCACCCCTAAATGTCCTGCAGAAGAATTTGCTTCCAACTAAGATCTTCTCTCACACCATAGCCTGTATCTTCTTCTTCTTAAAGATGTTGTATATTCTAAGAGGAGAATACATATCTATTCCTTGCAGTACAAGGAAACAACAGCCAATCATCGGCCATCAACCCATCCGTCAATCAATAGGAAGGCACCACATAAATATGATTCATAGACTAGCCCAAAGCACATACTTCAGTTGAGAGAAGTTCTCTGAAGATGGGTTCCAGCATGAATCCAAAAAAGCTTGGAAGAGTAAATTTCCCGGTGACCAACCCAGATTCGATCTTACAACATGTCTAACCAATCCAATCCAATCCATCTTCAACAGATGCTTAGGAAGCAACTCTACATTTTTATTGATCTCCCTGTTCCTACTCATGGACTTTCTAAATGAATCTACATGGGGTTTGTCTTCTTCTTAAGAAAGAAGACAGTGGACTACCCAGCTGTACCAACAACGCATCATTATAGTATAAATCCTCCTGCCATTCTTGCAAAGTAAGTTGATCTTACTATTCCATATTGATACCATATTGATACCAGGCTGGCCCTCAAACATTTCCAACTTGGTGAACATTGCCAAGAGGCGGCATGGTGGCTCAGTGGTTAAGATCAGTAGTGGGATTCAAATAATTTAACAACTGGTTCGCCCAGAGTCAGGTTGGCTGTCGTGGGAGGCGTGGCCCATCCCCATTGTCCAGCTCCGCCATACATGCGGGACAAGCTTCCTGTGACGGCTGACCTGACTTTGGCTGTTGTTCAATTACTCCCCTCCCCAACTATCAAAGTGGATCCTGGGCTCTACACTGCAATGGAGAAATGGAGCGGCCGGCACGAGGGGAGGAGGAGGAGGAGCAGGGAGAAGAAAGAGGGAACGTGACCTTCCCTTGTGCTGGCCGCCCCATTGCCCATTTCTCCATTGCAGCGCAGTGTCCAGGATCCACGTTGATAGTGGGGGGTGGGTAATTTAACAACCGATTTGACCGAACCGGTGAAAACCGGCTGAATCCCACCACTGATTAAGATGCTGGGCTTGTCAAATGGAAAGCTGGCCTGAGATCTGAGCGCAGTGGTGAAATTCAATTTTTTTTAGTACCGGTTCTGTAGGCGTGGCTTGGTGGGCGTGGTGTGGTGTGGTGGGCGTGGCTTGGTGGGCGTGGCAGGGGAAGGATACTGCAAAAACTCCATTTCCACCCCACTCCAGGGGAAGGATATTGCAAAATCTGCAATCCCTCCCCACTCCTGGGGGAAGGATATTGCAAAATCTCCATTCCCACCACACTCTGGGACCAGCCAGAGGTGGTATTTGCCGGTTCTCCGAACTATTCAAAATTTCTGCTACCGGTTCTCCAGAACCTGTCAGAAGCTGCTGGATTTCACTCCTGTCTGAGTGCCATGTGACGGTGTGACCTCTCGTCCTTGCTCCAGCTCCTGCCAACTTAGCAGTTCAAAAGCATGCAAATGCGAGTAGATAAATAGGTACCACTTCAGTGGGAAGATAACAGGGTTCCATGATGTCATGCTGGCCACGTGACCACAAAAAATGTTTTCAGACAGTGCTGGTTCAATGGCCTTGAAACGTAGATGAGCACTTCCCCCTAAAACCGGCAACGACTAGCAGAATAAAATCTGCAGCGACTCCTTTTTTTAATATTTCCAAGGCAGCTTATGCCTGCAAACTTTCCACCCCTTCTCTGCTACACCTTTAAACATCACATTAAAGTAGGAAAAGTTTAATTAGCCACACAATCCGTTTCTTCTTTCAAGGCCACCGTTCACTATTCGAGAGAACAATCGGGAGACCTTTTTCAGAGAGAAAAGGCAATTCAGGCAGCCAAGGTTTTGCGACAAAGGCAGAACGCGTGCATTAAATTCCCTCTTTAAAATGAAGTGGGATCTTTGAGGGCAGAACTTTGCTTAACATCAAAACAAGGTCCTTATAGAGGGAGAGATTTAAAAAAAAAAAAGACAATAGAGCTGTTTGGGAGATTGGGAACAATGACAACAATAATATAAAAGTAGTAGTATTCCATAGAAGCCCAGGCATGTACACATACTCAATGCCTCTTACTTTCCCCCCCACTCCCCTTCTTCTTATTGGTCCCTTTCAATTTAGTGAAAAGAAATTGCTTTCGAGCGCTTTTCAAAGGAGAAGAGAATTGTAGCAAATACTCATGGATGGAATGCTGTCTGTTCCATCGACGAGAGATCTAACCGAGAACGAAGGAGAAATTTCCTGAACAATTAACCAGTGGAACGGCTGGCCTTCAGAAGTTGCGGGCACTCCATCACCGGAGGCTTTTAAGAAGAGACTGGACAGACATTTGTCTGGAATGGTAGGGTCTCCTGGTTGAGCTGGGGGTTGGATTAGAAGACCTCCAAAGTCCCTTCCAACTCTGTTATTCTGTTCTTGTTGTTTGGTTGTTGTGGTATTCCTTTCCTTTCCTTTCCTTTCCTTTCCTTTCCTTTCCTTTCCTTTCCTTTCCTTCCCTTCCCTTCCCTTCCCTTCCCTTCCTCATCTATTTACTTCCTTTCCTTTCCTTTC